GTGAATGAATAGTGGAATTGTAAAGCGCTTTGAGGGTCTCGAAAAGCGCTATATAAATGCAATCCATTATTATTATTATTATTATTATTATTATTACATAATATCAATTCAGTCTTTTTTTTGTGTTTGTTTGTGATTTATTATGACTAAAATCATGTCTTGCAACCTTCATTATTTGGATTTAATTTGAAAATACAAAAATGTTTTCCCCCACAGTAAATTATGACAAATTGAAGAGTGAATTGATAAAAATCTGTCTTTCTTCAGGTATGTAGGTGAGAACTACTCCAACGCCCAGGAAGCCATGGAGGATGCCATGCAAACCTTTTACAGCCAAAACTCCATTCAGCATCCTGTGTCTAATCCCATAGTTGGTCAGCTTGTAGCCGTCAGAGGTGAGGATGGAGCTGAGATGGCCAGAGGACAGGTCTTAGAGGTCACAGGCCCCAACAAGGTCAAGGTAAATTTCTTGAATTTATTTATTTTTAACTATAGTTCTGTGCTAGTGTGTTTATGAGTCCTTAAAGTCCTAAATGTTTATATTTAAAATATTTAGTTGCACCCACTACAATTTTAGTCACCCTGAGAGTTTCTGACACACAATGTCACTGTTTTTGTTGTTGTTGTTGTTTTTTAATCCCCTTTATGCGTCTCAGTAAATTATATTGATAGAGCCAAGCTTTTTAATTTGGCTAAACCATCAGGCAGTTTTTATAAGTGTAAGAGCATTTAACTGTCCGAAAGTCTTGATCCATGTCTCATTTCTCTATATTTTGCTGACAAAATTGGAGATGGTGGCAGTGATTTATGAAACATGAATAGAAGTAAAGCATATAAAGTTTGAACAGACTTGAAAGTCCATATTGGTATGCCCACATGTTACTCTTTAACACAGACTGAACTCTGTTTCTTGGAATTTCTTGGAATTTCTTGGAAGTGGTGCTCAGGAAGAGTTCTCCAGGCATATTGAAGGTCATTCAAAGCTCTTCTTTTTGTTTCATTCTCAGTCTAGATGATCCCACATATTGGCGGATTAAAATCTAATGGTACTACTGTTTCCCTTTCTTAAGAATTAGTTGAAGAAGATGAGTTTGATAGTGTGGCTGTTAGTCTATGTAAATAAAAAAAATGCAAGTTTAAGGACAAGTGGCTTACGAAAGTGGCATGCTTACGCAAATTAAGATAGGCAACATAGTTTGCTTTGAAAGTGTTTTAACCTTGACACACTGGAATATTTATATTTGCATGGGTTTCTCCAGTGTCATTTTGACCTCTCTTGCAACAAAAAAATGTATTTCCCTCGGATTAGTTCTCCATACTGTACACTCTCAGTTGGGTTCAGCTATGGTTTCCTCGCTGCTCTGTACAGTCAGTAAAATGGCCAGTTCTCCACATGTTTGGTCGCACACTCCCACCTCTTTCCCACTCTGCTTTAGTTCAGAATCCCATGCTCACCTTGGGAGCTTTTTTTAAAAATCTAAATACTATAATGTATACATTTATTTATCTATAACATCTGTCTAGCTCTGGCTCATGTTATAGCATCTTTCATGTCAAAATATTTGTTTAAAATTCAGCACACCTAGAAATTCAGTATTTGATGAATAAGCCCTGTGTAGGAATATGAGATGATGGGGTTTTATTTTAACAGAGGTAAAAGGATTTTTTTAAATGCCAAGGGGTTAAAATGACCCCCTTTGTGGTTCTAATGTTAAACTAAACCAACTTTATGTACACTTGCAAAGAGGGCATTCTTACTTTTTAAAATTAATACTCTGTATGGTTGTTTGTTTGTTTTTTTGTTGTTGTTTTTATTGTAAGTTCAGTCTCAACATGTGTGAGACTGCTGTTTAAGCTCCATCACAATACAATGTGTATTAAAAGGTCTCCAAAAGTCTTATAATATTTAACGTGTGTGTGTGTGTACGTGTGTGTGTGTGTGTATGTATACGAAGACATGTGAAACCAAAGAACCTCTCTGTGTGTCTGTCAGGTTTACTACATGGACTATGGCTTCTCTGTAGAGACTAACATGAAAAATCTGCTGGAACTACACAGGGACTTTCTTTCCCTGCCCTTTCAAGCCACTAATGTTCAGCTTGCAGGTACGTAAAACATTAGGAAATTCTGTTTAACTGTTTTATACAGAACAAACTCAATCTCTAGATAGAGAACGAAATGTTTTTAGGAATCACTGTTACCCTGATGGTCTTGCCATTGTCTTCATCTTTTTCTATTTCTTTACTATCCTCCTGTTAGGCCTAGAAGGATTCAGCTCCCATCCATTGGTGCGCTCACTTATGGATAATGTGGCAGTTGGAAAGATCCTGCTGATGGAAACATTAGAGCCATGCCAAGAGAGTGAAGTTCCTACAGCAGTACTTTATGATACTTCACAGGATGACGACCTCAACATAAACTCCGCCTGCCTGAAGGTTCTACAGGACAAGACCATGAACAACCCTCTGTCTGTAGGTTTATATATTATTGAGGATTTACCTCTTTTTTTTTTTTCTTTTTTTTTTTTTTTTTTTTTTTTGTGGTCGGACAATTAATTCTAGTGGGGAAGACTTAGATTTGTAATTATTTTTCCTCCCCTTTTCATATTTTTCTTTTAAACTCAACATAACCACTAAGTGGTGCTGTGTTACCCGTACTTTATTGTGTCTTATGTTACAGTAGGGGTGTGTGTTTGCGTGCGTGTGTGGGTGGTTTGGAAACTGCAGTTTTATATTCAGCTTGGAGCAAAGTGATTTGTTAGCCCTCAGGCAGAGCTTGCTGCTTGTTATTTTATTGTTAGTTCATTATGCTTCAATAAATGAATCTGGGTTTCATTTATTGAAGCATAATGCACTCATTTTAGCTCATCAAATGGCCAGAAATAATATGAAAATGCAAAGACTGTTTTGTGTGTGAGACTCTAACCATTATCATCATTGCTGCATCACACAAGTTTTTGATGAATTCTTCCAGCATTGTCTAATATGATACTGTTGCCTGTAGGTAAATGTTACCTATCAGGATGTGTCTGTCACAAATGTGTGTCAAGATGGCACCTTGTACTGCCAACTCCCTTCCCGTGGAACTGCAAGACTGAGCAAGTTACTAGAAGAAACAGAGGCCTACTTCATTTCCCAGGTATATAATACTTTATAGTACATACATTCATGGAAGAGTGGAAGACAGTGGAATAAGGGTATTTCCACATACTATGTGTGCAGGATTGTATTTTTCGGCTTGTGTTTTTGTGAGAAGTTATAAACAGCTGAGAGAGTGTAGTGATAAAGATAAGGAGGGGAAAAATACATTCCCCATACTGGGCCTCAGGGACAATGAGGTTTTTGTACAGTTGCTGTACCTCACATTGGCTGTTTAAATTGCTTTTCAGAAGCATGCATTTATTTTAAATACAAAGAACAATGAATGCAAAAAACATCTAGTTTTTAAAAAAATGTTCTTGTTGGAAGTTTTTCCTTAAGGATGACCTTTGAGCACGAATGGCTTCCTTTTTTGTTCCTGTCTTTTATCTCGTTGACAGTGCATTTGATCCCCACCAAAGACTTCAGACACTTGTCTGTCATTTACTGGGTTTTATTCATTATTTGTACTTCTCTCAGATATGAGTTCCTTGCAATTGCCGTTTCACCTGTGGAATGGGCGAAGCTTTCTAACACTGTTAATTTTTTTTTTTTTTTTTTTTTTTTTTCTCCCCCTACTAGATCACATCTGAGTTCCTGGTGTCAAGGCCCTTCATTGGCAAGTTCTGTCTAGCTCGCTACAAAGAAAAATGGGCCAGAGTTGAGGTAGGAATCAAATATTGGCAATGTATTTGTTTGAAGACTAAAAAATAATTTAAAGAAATATTTTGAGAATATCAAAAATCATGACCAGTAAGATCATCATCATCATCATCATCATCATCATCTTCTTCTGTTGCTTTTATTTTTAGATCACCAACATGTACGGTAACAGAGTGATGGAGATTTCCGTCATTGACTTTGGTGTCCCAGCAACACTAGAACTCACTGATCTTCGGGAGATCCCCCCTCTTCTTTTGAAAGACTTCATTATCATCCCACCACAGGTTAGTTACTTGTGTTTGTTCTAGGTGATGGAGAAATCAGTGGTCAGACAGGCTTCACGAGTTTTGTAACACATGTAAAAGTTTGTAATTGGGTCTTCCCCAGGCTATTAAATGTCGCCTAGCTGACCTTCCTGTTCCTGAGGGAGACTGGAGCCAAGAGGCCATTCTGTGGGTCAAGGAGGCTGTTATGGGCTCTGAAGCCTGTAAAATGAAGGTAATATCTACATCAAAAAATAGACTTGGTAAATGCTGCTGATAATAAAATCTTCACTTTGAAGCACAGTAACTTGTAATTGCATTCTGGAATAATGGCCAGTGTGAAAGACCGGAGTGATTTTTGACAAATTTTCAGGTAAATGGAATGAAGTATCTCTAAACAGGAAAGATTTGACTGTTGAGACATACCATAACCAGCATTGCTAGTGGAAGAGCTATGGACAGCATCTACTAGCACTGGTCTGGGGATCCACAAACCATGAACTTCTGATGGATAATGAGAATGTGTTGGACCAAATATGATTTGTGTTGGCTCTTTCACTCAAAATGCACAAAATAAAGGATCTGCTGGCACTGTATTAGTGCTGTACATCACAGGGCAAATCACGGGTCTTGTAGGTTCTAACAGTGTGTTAGACTTGTGGTTGTCGTATTTTGATTCATTAGTAGACGTGCAGTTAAATATCAGTTAACTCCAAAGTGCAACTGTGTAAAGCAGTCACGATAAATTTAAGCTCTCAATTTGTACATTTTGTCCATGTATTCTTTGAACCATTCTTTTCATTTTCAGATCTTGAAATTAAACCAGGACACAAAGGACACGCTTGTCTATATGTATCTTTTCATTGGCGTTGACGGTCAGCATTTGGACGAGAGCATCAACCATCACTTGGCCCAGTCAGAGTTGTGGAAGAAGCTCACAATACAAAACAACAACACAATCACCAGTTGCAACATGAATACAGGTAATGGTGCACATCATAGTGGCATTGTAAAGCGCTTTGGGTGCCTTGAAAAGCGCTATATAAATCCAATCCATTATTATTATTATTATTATTATTATTATTATTATTATTATTATCATCATAAACATTCTGGGTCTGAAATACTTCCTACCAGCAGTCAACATTTGACCTGACCTTTTATTTTTTATTTAAGCACATAATCTCTAATATAATATTTTGAATGGGGTGCTGTTTAAACTTGTAGGTCTCACTCCTGTGATGGACAGGTCGTCTCTCAGCAGCTCAGTCTCGAATCCTACAGATCCCACTGTGAAGGCTTCACCCCAGGCATGTCACATAGCAGGGGGCGGGGATGCTACCACCAAAACTCAGACGCAACTACTTCAGCTGCCACCTCCGCTGGATCTCCCCTTGGTGCGTGAAGATGAGATAACCTTCTATTGGGAGTAAAAGATGGCTGCAAGAATAGTAGTCTCAAGCACACAGCCCTGGCTTTAAGCACAAAACTCTTCCCTACCTCTCCTTTAAATGCTTTTGTTCCCAGGGGAAGCCAATCTGAAAAAAGTTGGTTTAGAAGGGAGCGTGGTGAAGCCAAAGTGGTTTGTTTCAGAGAAATAAACTGAAGCTCATCAAGGCTTAGTTTAAAATAAAACAATTGTTTTGCATGGTGAAACATGCAGTTACTCTACTACAGTCCAACAATAAAACTGTAACGTTGAAGCATTGAAAATGAATAGAATTGTTCCAGTTAAAAGTTCAACATAATCTTGCTGTTCAAATTTGTCCAAAGTATGTAATGTGTGTGTGTATAAGCAATTTCTCACATCGGTGTACAGATTATGGTCAAATTAAATTTGTAAAGAATATGGGTTTGGGGTTATTCCAGACCCAAAAAAAGCTGGAGTACCAAGAAGTCATTTTCCTTGTCCTCTTCTTTCAGCCTGGTCAGAATATAGATGTGTTCGTACCAGTGGCATGCCACCCTGGTTACTTTGTGCTGCAAGCTTGGCATGACCTGCATAAGCTGGTGGTGTTGATGGGGGAGATGATGCTTTATTACAACCAGACAGGGAAGACCAACCCAACCACCACCATCCAGAAAGGACACATCTATGCTGCCAAAATAGACAAAAAGTAAGTTGACACATGGCTGCTAAAGGTCTGTCAGTTTTTCCGAAACAAATCAACTACTTCATTTATTCTCTCTCCTTCCCTAACACATTGTTGTCTTTGTAGCATATTTTTGAGATTCCAAAATTATAAAATATATTCTTAAAGAATTCTTCCTTTATAAGTTTATATTAGGAAGAAAACCTTCAACTGCTTTGCTGTGTGATGCCAAGGTTCACAGTTTAAAATCAATAGGTTGCTATTGTGTCAGGGTCACTGGCTTAACCGATGCTTACCTGTATGTAGTTGGCACCGTGTGAAGGTGAAGGGGAGTCTTTCCAATGGCTTGGTGTCTGTCTACCAGCTGGACTACGGTAAGCATGAGCTGGTCCACAGTACGCTCATCAGGCCCTTAATAGAGGAGTTCAGACAGCTGCCCTTCCAGGCTATGACTGCACAACTGGCAGGTGAGTTATTGTCTTCATATAGCTTCACTGTTTTTTTTTTTTTTTTACATATAGATAGATATAGAGAGATATAGATAGATAGTAGGGGTGCAACGATACACAAAATTCACGGTTCGGTTCAATACTTCACGGTTTGATATTTTTTCGATACAAAAAATGTTTAGGTCTTTTTAATTTGTCATTCATTAAAATTATAAATATATATTTTAACTCAAAAGTACAGT